TAATGCTCTTTTAAAATCCAAGTCTTTCATATGATACACTTAAATTAGTTACAATCTGTACTGCATTTGTTGAATCTCTTCTTCTTCTTCATAAAGAATTTGGTAAACACTTGTTTACTATAGAACTTAGATCCCAAGTCTCAGTTTCAATCTCAGAATCCCATAATTGAGGCTCTATTTGCACCTCTCTCACAGATCCATTCACAAACCTTTTCAATCTCTCACCCACTTTGGTCGCTCCATATTGAAACAATAATTGCGGATTCTACACAGAAGTAATTATCAATGAAAACAAATCAATCAAAAGTTTCTTAATGTTGAGAGACTAATTAAATAGTTTCCTTTGCCAAACATTTTTAAGATTAAAGAGTAGACCCATGTTTATATATATATACCTCAGCATGCACAACATGAATAACTGAATCTCCAACCAGTGAAGAATTTGCAGAGATGACCTCCACGCGATCTTCATGCAATATTCTCATAATTTCACAGAAAATAAACTGTTCATCAACCCCACAAGTTACAATAACTTGTAGAGAAGAACCATTTTCATGAATCTCTATTTTTGGTGATTTTATGCTTCCTTTTGCTCCAGTAGAACTCGAACAGCCACTACGCAATCTCTTGCTTCTCATTAAACTTTCTTTCTTCTCCTTTGCCAATTTCAAATTTGTCTCTAAGCTCTTTATGTAGTTTATAGCATTGTCTACTTGATCAGGTAATGGTAAAGCTTTCTGCATGAAATGAAAAATAACACCAAATTATATAATATTATCAAACAATAGTATAAAATAGCCAAAATCCGACAATTCATTGCATGTGTTAATCTGTGAGTATTTAAGATAGAATATTACAAAACTTAACAATCAAGTAGTAAGGATTGATGCACATTACCTCTTCATCCTTTATACAAACATTTGCTCTGTGAGACTTGAATAACTCTAATGCAAAAGGAGTCACGTGAACACAACCATTCAAGTACAAAACCGAGAGACTTCTGCAACCGTCTCGTAATGCCTGCAGGCCATTATCATTGAGATTACGGCATCGATTAACATGCAGTCTCTTCAAATTCTGACAATATAACCCCACTGCTTGCCATCCAGATATCCTCACCTCATGACATAATGCTAAGTTCCATTCTTCAAGTAGTGTACATCCCATGGCTATTGCAACAATAGAAGTATCGGAAACAGATCTGCACATTCGAAAGTTAAGGACTTTGAGGTTTGAGGACAATCTTATTCCAAGCAAGGTATCTCCTAAGGGATACCAACTTAAACAAGATACGTCTAGATACTCTATACCACCGCCACTAATTATTCCCGTCACCCCTTCTGGTTTGAGCTTACAAGACCAAGCCTCTACATGTGTGAGAGATTTTGAACACCCTTTGAAGCCAACACCTCTTATACTCTCACAGTGTGATATGTTAACTGCCTGAAGCTGACGACACCTCTGAGTAAGAGCTTTCAACCCTTTGTCGGATATTTGTGAGCAGTACGAGAGGTTTATGCATTTCAAAGATAAACAAGCAGTGGCTAAAGTCTCTAATCCGTCATCAGAAATGTTGATACACCGATAGAGACTAATTAACGTCAATGAGGGACAACCAGAAGCAACCAGGGATAGCCCGTAATCAGTAACTTTCAAACAACAATCTAGATTAAGTTTCTGTAAATTCGAACCATAGCTTAGCAGACGGGTTAATCCTGAATCATTGAGCTCCGTACAACCACATAAGGATAAAGACTCTAAATGTTGAAAGCGCATCAGTAGCCTATGGAGATGGACAGTATGAACATCAAGACCCTTTCTCGACAAAGAGGATGGATTTAATATACTGAATGAACACTCAAATTGCAGTGACCGGCGGTTGAAATTCTGAATATGGAGCCACCGTAGTCTATCATGTTCATTACAAGTTGTTCACAAGCATTACAAAACCATTATCATCACAAGTCCTTTACATCATACAAAACTTTCACTCTCTCACTTGGCTCACGATTCATTCAATCAGAAAATCACACAAAAAACTCAGAAGGAGATTCACAGAAAGAAAGAAAAACTCACCTTCTGGTTATCTCAAAACAGCATCATCACCTTCCGTTTTTCAATCGTCCTCAATGCATCTTCACTGAATCAATAACTTCATTCGTTCATCATCTTCATCAATGCAACTGATTCTGCAACTTCAACCGAAACACATCACCACGGTAAAATCGAAAGAAAATTGAAAAGAAGTAGAAGAAGATTGAATCAATAATTTATATACCTTGATATTCGGATGATACAAAGATCGCGCAGAAGATGAAGAAGATTGAGTCGAATCGAAGAATGGAAGCTTCACCATTCTAGGCGCAACATCGTACTTCCGGCGGTGGTTCTTTGCTTCAATCGGATAAAAAGCTCTTTCACAAAACCTAATCCTCTTTCAATTTTGTTTGTTACTCCTATTTTGTTTTTTTATATTTTTATTTGTTGTATTTTGTTTATAATTTAATAATAAATATTAGTTGCTGAAAATATTATGATATTGTGTTGATATTATGATATTGTGTTGCTGAAAAAAAGTGGGAAAGTAAAAGAATAAAAAAAAGTAGCCTAACCGTCGTGATAACTGTCGCAATTCAGGAATAATGCTTGAAAATCTACGACGGTTGAGCCTAACCGTCGTGACAACTGTCGCAATTCAGGAATAAGGACGGTTTTGTGGGAACTGTCGCAATTTATGTGTCGTAAATCTCTTTTTTTCTTGTAGTGGTCCCGATCCAATTCTTTCGCGCTTTAATTCCTTTTGATTATATTGATGTATCTGTTTCCAAGGATGTAATAGTTAATTAGGTTTTACCGCTTTCTTTACTTTTTTTGTATTTATTTCCAAACGGGTTTTGTTTTTGGCGATGTATAGACTCGCGCCTTGTAATAGCGTAGATTTACCTTTCAGCAATTTATTTTCCGCACTCTTAACTTTTAAAAAATGCATGAAAGACTTGTATGACAAATAAAATCAATTTGTAGCTCACAAATACATGTACAAGATAATCTTAACTGAAACAACACACATGCACATGCCACTCTTAGGGTACGCCTCACTGGTTGCCTCGACATGGTCGTCAAGTATAGGGTGTTTTAGAGGTCGCTCTCCTGTCTAAAGATCCAGTTGCCTCAAAACGGTTGCCTCGGATAAAAAGGATATAGGACATTAGGGTTACCGCTAAGGTGTCCTACTATTGCTTTGGTGACCACATGTCCCTATAATCGAATTGACCTGAAACTCCAACGACGGTGCTACCTACTTCTCAATAGTGGGATAGTACTGTCTAAAGGACTCTTACACAACTTAATTCCTTAGAGTAGGTAGATTTCTCCTGGGTACTTGATCTTTCAAAAAACAAAAACAACTTTTCGCACCTACACTTTCAAAAAGTTTTCAAACAAATACTTCATACACTCTTGAGGACTGGTACAAGAGTTACCTAGAAGTTTTTCAAACTAAACTTTTTCAAAACCCACAAACACTTGAAAAGCAAACAATTTTTGAAAACATAGTGAGCAAGTACCTAAGAGCCCGTGGATAACCACAGATAGAAATGGTGCTAACACCTTCCCTTTCTATAAATCTACCTCCTGAACCGAGAGACATCTCGAAAAAGGAATTTTGCTGTGCTTTTGTCCTTTTCTTGTTGGAGAACATAAAAGACAGTGGCGACTCTTGCTTACCGCGACATTTTGCGAACCAGCTTTAAAACAGTCAGTTCTATTTCCACCAATTACAATGGGGATTAAATAATGGAATTGGTGTGGATTCATTATGGTGAATGTATTCATTCAAAGGATCATTGGATGCCATGAGTTCAAATTTTGTTCAAGTTTATCAAAGATTATATGCATTTGTTCATGAGGATCTTTTGAAAACAAGTTGTAAATTCAAGGTTCAAAGTTCGACTTCAAGTGTCATTCATCGTTATTCAACTCCATCCGCAAAGCCAAAATTCAAGTATTAAAGTTCACCACTATTTATTATTTATTCATTCAAGATTTATCCAAGGCATGTTCAATATAATTTCAAGATTTATTTATGTTTGCTAATATTCGTTCAAGTACCATTCAACTTCAAATAATGTGCATCGTGATTCAAGCAAGGACTTCATTCACTCAAGCTGCAAAAGTCATGTGGATCTTTCATGGAACCTTTGATATTTGGAGCAATTTAATTTTAATTTGAGAATTGGAAAAGACTTTGGATCAATCCCATTCCAATATCCATTCATTACATGTTACTTTATATGTACAAATAGTTTTCTTTACATGTTGTAAAAGGAAAAGACTTTGCAAATTGAGTTCATGGCTAGTCCTAAACCTAATGACCTAAACTTCTGTCCAAAACTTGCATCAAATTCGTCCATCAAGCTGCAACCAATCCAAACTATTGCTTAAATAAGTCATGTAATTGGCGTAAACCCATCTGCACCATTTCATAATTCAGAAAAAAAACCATTACAAAACCAATACAAAAAATAATGCACATTCAAGACAAATTGAAGCCATATCCAATTCATGTTAAAAAAAAAACCTCACATCAGTTCAAACCAAATTCCATACATGCAGTATCACAATAGCAAAAACCAGCTCATTCATGAAGAAAAAAACCAGAATAATCAGGAAGATAAATAAGGTGTAAACCGTGGCAAGAATAAATCAGAAACAAAATCAGAAAAGCTTCTAACAAGTTCCAGCTCAGCAAGTTTGTTTTATCAGAACTGAAAAATAAAAAAATATAGAAAGGGAAGGAATCATGGAAAGGGAAATATCATAAAATTATTTGACAGGCAAAATTACAAACTTGTTAACCAAGCCTCATAATCAAACTTGATCTCATCCATCTATTCTCCTAACAAACTCTCACAATTAACAGCTCAGATTAATTCAAACTTTCACAACTCTAACCGATTATAAAAAGAAAACCCACCTTCATTGAGAATCATTCTTCAGATATGTGGAAAGAATCACCATCAAAATCACAGGAAAAAACTTTCTATGCAATCTCTCTTCAACTTTCTCTAAGTTTTATTTACAACTTCACTAATCTTCGTCATCAACTTCTGCAACTGTTTCATTTATTCATCGTTTCTACATCACACACATCAACAACAACTTCGCAGCAACATCATCTTAAATAAGCAACAACGACGACTTCTCAACGTCAAACAACACAATTCGTGATACGGTTGTGCATGGTGATACGACGAACCAGAGAAGGTGAGTTGGAGGTGGAGACAACAGTGTGGTTGAGAAAGAAGAGAGGAGAATCGTTTTCACGAAGAAGATGTACATCCACAACCTCTTTAACCTTATCCTTCTTAAAACTACATAGTTTCTCCATGTTTATTTTTTAATTTCATTAATTTTTTTGTTTATTAATAAATAGAATAATAAATCTTAAAAATGGAATAAAGAAGTGAAGTAGTTTTTGGACTAAGCTTGTTTTTATCTTTTAGCTGGACTGGACCACATGCTTCCCCCTAAGCCCAATAACTTCTTCTTTTGATATAACAGAGAATAATTGGAACAAAAAGTGATTGTGGACCTAGTAGTTTGGGTTTAATGCCAATTCTTCCTACACATATTTCCAGACTTGCACCTCGTGTTTCATTCATTTTGCTATTTTCTTTTTAATTCATGTTTTCAATTTTATCAATTATGTGCATGATTTCTCTTCACGAGTTGATTTCTTGATATGATAAAATGACATAAAAAATATTAGAATATGATTTCTTTTATTTTTGAATAATTCTTAATTGCTCGTGTGATTATCATGTTCTCTTAGGATTATTAATTCGATTTTAATCTTTTGGTTAAATTAAATTAATTAGACCTTAGGATTTAATCCAAGCATGATAGTTTATAGGTAGAATTTCCTTTGATTCTAACTTTAGGTCCACATTGCATGCTAATATTAGGGCTTGAGTTTCCTTTAGTTTTTGCTTCTTTTTGTATTGTATGTAAAACTAAAACTTCTTTTTCTTATAAAAACTCAAAATACTTAATAAATCGTATGCAATTGAGTCTTATGGAAAAGGATGAGGCGTTACATTCTGAACTTTGCTTTTCTTCCATTTTCAGACTTTATTACGATTCAATTTGCAAACTCTTTTGCAAATAAGCGGAGAAGTAGTAAGTGTTCCTCCATTGGAATCTATTTTCTATTATGCCAACAAAAATACTCAATAAATTCAAACTCTTTTGTCTTCAGTCTTTTCCTTTGAAAAACTTTTCAAGTAAGAACATGTCGATTCTTTTCTACGACAACGCGTGAGTCTCTCAAGGTCAAGTTGCAGTAGAATACGAAACCGGCATCGTTCATAAAAAACACAAATAAACCAACATTTTTTAGAAGAACTAAGGTGCTCTGATTCTTTCAGGATACGTAGGCACTAGGTCTCACGATGAAAGGCAAGCATAATTCTTTTTGTTTGTATATAATTCTCTTCATTCATGCATTCCCTTAGATTGTAAGCTTTAGATGAACACACCCTTTGATTAGAACAACAAGAGTGGATCTCATTGAGTACAACGGACGTGGGGGGTGCTAATATCTTCCCCTTGCGTAACCGACTCCCTTACACTTCTCTTGGTCGCAAAACCTTGATCTCTTCCTTCTTATGTTTTCTTCGACGTTTTCCTTTCCCTTCCTTGGGATAAATAAATATTCGATGGCAACTTTATTGTTCATCATTTTTTCTAGTTGCTTCATGGATGAACAACAAAGTGTTATTGTCATGAAAGACAACCTTCCTGAAACCACTATATCAGCACCAGTCATTGAGTTAGATGTTTTGTGTGAACCTATCATGGATTTTGATAACTTGAAGATAAATGGGTTTGACCTCTCTGACGACGTTGCTAAGAAAGGTTGGTAATCGTTATTCAACCGTCTCAAAGGTCTAGTTTATCCAGATTTGGTGAAGGATTTCCGAATACATGCAAAAACTTTTGACCTAATGGTTTCTTCATTTGTTCTGGGTAGAAATATTCCAGTCACTGAAAAATCCATCGTTAAATTAATAGGTCATGACGGTTCCGGGAGGAGAAGCTATAACATGATTAAAAAAGGAGAAAGAGTCAAAGAAGTGGTCTTTATTATCTTCAAACCAAATGTCAAAAACACATCCAACATAAATTTTTTGGATAAACATGAGGATTTAGGCCAAAATTATCTTGTCATTCATTCATTTTAAACCATCAAGCAACTCACCTGAGTATATAAACTGGGACAAAAAGTTCATGCTATATGTGATCGGTGGATCTGGAACTGACTGTTTAACGCTGGTTCGCGAAATGTCGCGGAAGCAAGAGTCGCCATCGTCTTTTATTTTCTCCAAATGGAAAGGACAAAAGCACAGAAAAATTCCTTATTGAGATTGCTCTCGGTTCGGGAGGTGGATTTATAGAAAGGGAAGGTGTTAGCACCCTTTCTATCCATGGTTATCCATGGGCTCTTAGATACTTGCTCATTTGTGTTTTCAAAATTGTTTGTTTGCTTTTCAAGGTGAGTGGGTTTGAAAAAGTTTCTTTGAAAATTTCAGTTCGACTCTTGTATCAGTCCTCAAGAGTGTTTGAAAAGTTGTTTTTGAAAACTTTTTGCAAAGTGTTGGTGTGAAAAGAAGTTTTTGATTTGTTTTGAATTAGAGCAAGTATCTACGAGTCATCTACCTACCCTAAGGAATTAGTCTGTGTAAATGTCCTTTAGGTAGTGCTATCCCACCATTGAGAGGTAGGTAGCACCACCGTTGGAGGTGTTCGGGTCAATTCGAGGGTTAGGGACAGTGTGGTCACCGAGAAATAGTAAGATACCTTAGAAGCTACCCTTATGCCATTGATCTTTTTATTCCGAGGCAACCGTTTCGAGGCAACTTGTTTCGAGGCAACCGTTTCGAGGCAACTAGATCAATGGAACACAAGGACTCACTAAGACGTCCTATACTCGACGACCACGTTTCGAGGGGCAAGGCAACAGTGTGATCACCAGAGCAATAGTAGGACACCTTAGAAGCTACCCTTATGCCATGTTCATGGACATAAGGACTTACTAAGACGTCCTGTACTCGACGACCATGTTTCGAGGGGCAAGGCAACAGTGAGGCGTACCCTAGGAGTGGTGTGTGAATTGTGTGTCATTTTCAAATATTATTTGTCTTGTCATGCATTGGGTGTTCTACGCTTTGATTTTATTTGGGCATTCATTCTTTCATGTGATTAACAGTTTAAAAGTTGCGGGAATTTAAAGAGCGGAAAGTCAAAGTCCTACGCTATTACAAGGTGCGGGTCTACAACGCCAAATTAAACAAAGACCCGATTTGAATAAATAAAATGCGGAAAATAAATGTCCTAATTATCTATTACAAGGCTTTGGGGCAATTACATAAAAAGAAAAGTAAAAGTAAACGTGCGAAAAGAAATTAGAATCGAGTGCGAGGGCGTTGGACCCTTTAAAGGAATTAAATATGAAATTAGGAGTGAATTAATGATTAAAGAAAAAAGAAGTTTTTTTTTTGTTTTTTTTTGTATTTAAATGATATTGAAAACTAATTAATTATTTTAATTACAAGAAAATATTTTTTGACCTTTTTTATGTTTTTATGAAATAAAATAAAAAAAGAATTAAAAATGTCAAAAGAAAAAGCCTAAGTCTAAATTTGTTTTTATTTATTGTGAAAAAAGGTTAAAATTAACTAATTAAACTAATTAATTTGTTAGTATTTTATTTACAAAAATAATTACTAAAGTGAAATTAATAATAATAATAATAATAATTACATTTTTTTTGTTTTTTTCTGAATTTATGAAAATAATTATTTGTGAACTAACTAAATAATAATAATAATTAATAAAAGGAAAGAAAATAAGAAAAGAAATGCTAAACCAAGGAGGTGAAGGCCGGATTTTGGATGTTTTACTCAAAATCATCCTTAGGTATCAAAAATTCCATCTAAGCCCATGGTTGTGATCGTCCATGTCTCCTGATCACGTCTATGTTTATGGTTTGTCCCAATTTCACCTGTAGACAAAATACCTAAAAACAAAACCAACGAACCCTAGGCACGGGTATTGTTATACGAAGCCTAAAAATGAAATTGAATATAGCAGTTACATTGGAAATTAGGCATGGAGTATGAATATGCTATTATTTTCCAGAAAAAGTGCAAGAATGGAGAAACATGATTTCGTGTACAGGGGTGAGTTTGAGACAACTTACAGCGCTTGGTAGTGGACCTTAGGACGCGTTTGTGGTTGCTTTGGCTTCAGGGAGTGGCAAGGAAGAAAGCCACGTGCTTGCTTGGATCTGAAAATGTTTGCAACACCGCTTTAGATCTCTCACTTTTTTGGACAAATTTTGAACTTTTCCTCTGGCCGTTTGTGCACACTATCCTTTTTTTCTAGGTTCTGAATGAGGCTTTCAAGGCTTGTATATATAGGCTTGGATGAGAATCAGTCACATTAAGGAGCTTTTAAGCCTTGCAATGAAGTTTTGATTTTCTCCATAATCACCATTGAAATAACTTGCCATATTTGCTCCAAATTTGATTTTTTTTGCTTGAAATAGGTCTTGAACGAATTTGGTATATGTTTTATGGTGTATCAAAGCTATTCAAACCACAAAATATCCCTCCATTAATTTCTTTGATTTTTATTTGAATTTTAAAGATTTAAAATGCATTAAATCAAATAAAATTAAATAAAAATGGGAAAATTAATTTTTAATCTTGAAATAAATTGTGGGACACGTGGGAGGCATGGCCAAGCTGAAACAAGTGGAAAAAGTGGGCCCCTTTTGTCAAAAATGAAATTTCAAGGATAAATGATTTTGGCCATTTCACAAAAATTTCCCAACTTCTCCAATGCATATCTTGCTTAATTTTGAAGTTATGAACATGTTCTTGGACATTTTGGAAAGGTCTTGAAGTCCTCTAACCAATGTCGTTGGTCCCATGTCATTTTGATTTACCAATCTCAAGTTATGGTCTTTGACTTAAAGTCCCTTTTTGTTGACTTTTGAAAATGACCTATAATGTTGAAATTGATAACTTTTTGTGAGAGCATTTCTTGGACTTGGAATGTGAAGATGAGTTGTAGGAAATGTCTTCCCCTTCAAGATGAGCATTGGATGGAATTTTTCTGA